TAAAAATTAACAGAGATAGATAGATAGATAGATAGATAGATAGATAGATAGATATCTTACGATGCAGGGTTGGTGATGGGATGTGACGGGTCGCCATGGCAACGCTGAGATTTAGCCAAACTCAAATCGTAAAGTACTTTGTCAGAAAATCGTTTGCAACAATTCTTCTGAACTGTTGCCAGAGAATTCAGATGGACGTGATTCCAGGCCTGGCGCGCGCGTGCCTGGTGCCGATACGGGGTGGGTGGGTTGACGGCGATGATGGGGGTGTCTAGAAAGAGGCATCCGAATTTACTGGATGGTGGTGTTATGGGTGAGAAAACGTCTACCATGAGGCGCGCGGGTAGTGAGGTGGGTGGGTAAAGAAATGCTTTCTTCGTGGCTCAGGAAAAGACAGTGGCACTGATGGAGTAAAAATGAGAGGGATGGAGGGGAAGAATTAATTTGAGGGAAGAAAGAAAAGGCGAGGGTTGGGAAAAGAAAGACAAAATGGAAGGAATTTTGAAGGGATAAGAAAGAAAGAAAGAAAGAAAGAAAGAAAGAAAGAACATCTTGATTCGGAAAAAGAATTTTCATGGGATAAGAAAGAAACAAAGAAAGAAATAAAGAAAAGTAAGAAAACTTGAATCGAAAAAGAAGAATTTTGACAGGATGAGAAAACAACGCTTGGACGGAAAAGAAAGAATTTCTTGATGGTGAAAAAGAAAGAAATAGAGAAAGATGTATTTAGATAATCACCCCGGGGGGGGGGTCTAGTGGAAGTGTAGTCGTCATAGTGGCCATGACGCTGACTTTATAAAACGGGTGTTTTATTTTAGTATGTCCTCTGGATGGCAAATGCCGTGAATGTCCGAGAAATTTCAACTAGTTCTTATCCGATTCTAAAAATGATCACATTGCCCACAAGGTCCGTCCATGTTATTCACAGATCCTTCTGTAGAACCACATCTCTATTAAACTTGCATGGTGGGGTAATGAATAACGGCTCGGATTGAGGAATCGAAGAGCCGAATTCGAATTCCAGTCGAATCTATTCCATTCACTTACGTGCAAATACCCTTTGGAATCCTCTTCTCCCTATGGGTAAATAGCAGAATAAACCGGGTTTTATAGACTTTGATGGCAACTGGTCTACCGCAGAAAGAAATGGCAACCTACTGCGGAAAAAATCTGTATAGTGAGTCATGTATCGAAAGATACATGATCGCCTAAGCGGGTATCGCACATGGTACATAACTGACTGAATATACGGACAAATATTCTTAAATATGAAAGGATTCCATGGAATATTAGTGTTTGAGCTTTCTATATTATATTCTTACTCTGTCCTGACATTGAGTTCTACCTGGATTCTATTCTCTTGGGAATTCCTGTATATATATATATATATATATATATATATATATATATATATATATATATATATATATATACCTGCCCGCGTACTCAATTCCGGAAAATCCTTGTTGACAACACAACTATACTTAAACATGAAAACAATAAACAAAAATTAAAAAATCAAGCTAAATACATAAAATGTTGAAACCTAACCTGAACAAAATAAACTATTAAATCTCCACAAATATTCTTAAATGCCTATAATTTATAACAGAAGCCATTGGTTTATACCAACGGCTTCCCATACTTAATACTTCTCGTTTTTCACTCTTGCGTGATCATGTGTGACGTCACGAGCTGCGACGCGATTTTCGCTTCCGCGTCTCATATATACGAGTTTGTTGTTACTTGAAATTTTCATGCGGCAAGGGCGGACTATCATTGTTGTTTCGCCTGTTGTTGTTTGATTTATTGAAATTGTCATCTTTGATAATGGCTTGTGTAAGCCGAAAGTTTAGATTGGATTTAAACATGTATCAATATCGTGATTTCCTTTCGTCTTTCAACGATAATACGATTAAGCTTTTCAGACAATATGAAAGGAACTTAAAATAGATAGACAAAACTTGTCTCTATTATTTAATGAAACAGGCATCAATATATATATATATATATATATATATATATATATATATATACTATTAATTAAAGAAAGACAAAAAAAGGTTACCAGAACTTAAACTCTTATCCAAGAACAGTCTCGACATTAAACTCTTATCCAAGAACAGTCTAGACATTACTGAAAAATAAAGAGAAAAAGAGCAGAAAGCAAACTTTACTCAGTGCTCGAAGCCTAGATTGCCTCCCTGAGCAAAGAAACTCTTACCAAAATTAAATCCAATTAAAGGAATGGTTCCGGTCATGACTCAAGTTTCACGCAACGCGTTCTTCAGACGACTCTCTCTCTATCTATCTATCTATCTATCTATCTATCTATATATATATATATATATATATATATATATATATATATATATATTTTTATTATTATTATTATTTAAACCTTGTTTTAATGGGTACAAAAATTTGAGTAGACATTCCAGACCTGCGTTCTCCTTCGCAGGTGAAGCTGTCCTTAGATACGACGTACTTTATACCGACTCGGTGACGTATATAAGGCACTAATCATCTGTATTTGATAGAACTTTATGTCTGCTTATTTTTATCATAATCCTTTTATATTCGCGAATATTTTTCTGTATATTACAATCTAGTAATATACGGAATGTACGGTGGCGGTATGGTGGAGTAATGGATAGCGGCTGGGATTGAGGAATTGGAGTTCGAATTCCGTTCGAATCCATTACATTCACTCACGTGCTAATACCATTGGGAAAGATATGAATCTTCTTCACCCTATGGGTAAATAGCAGAACAGACCGGGTTTTATAGCTCTGGATTCCAATTGGCCTACAGCAAAAAGAAATGGCAACCTAAAAACTGAGCCATGTCAGTCATGTATCGAAAGATACATGATCATCTAAGCGTGTATCACGCATGGCACATAACTGCCTGATAAATACATTTCTATTAAGGTTCCCTATAATTACATCCCTATTAAAAATCTCTATAGCCACATCTTTATTAGACTTCCTTATAAATACATCTATATTAAACTTCCCTATAACTATATATCTATGAAAGTTCTTTATAATCCTATGTCTATTAAACTTCCGTATAACCACGTCTCTATTAAACTTCTCAATAACCAAATCTGTATTAGATTTCTCTATAAATATGTCTCTATTAAACCTCTCTGTAATCACATAACTATGAAATTGCTCTATAACATCTCTGATAAACTAGTCTATAACCACATCTCTAAAATTCTGTAGAACCACATATCAAAGTTTATTGTTCCTTTATTTTTTTTTACTGCTTCACCGTGTCTGTCTGTTACGTTTCCTTAAGAAAATTTTCCCATTGATTTCTGATTGTATTTGTTTTTCGTAAGCAACTGTCAAAGAATTTCAGCAAATTTTACTGCAAATAAAAAATTTGCAAAACCTTTTTTTTTCTTCATTTTGGACCTGCATTTCTGCAAAACTTTAGCTGAATAATAAAAAGGACATAACTGAAATTGCATTCGATGATTCTAATTCATATTTTATTGTATTTATTCAATTCCATTTCAATATCTGTTGCCTTAATCAATTTTCTTATATTTATGAGCGTTAAAATACAAAAGCGGATTTGCGTTGTTGCAATTTAGTCAACTTTGAAACATTTGTCGACGTATACAAAAATTCAATTTTGAGCATTTCTTAATCAATACACCATTCAAATTGACCATTTCTCCATAGATAAAAGAGAGTTTTATTTAAGTAAACAAATTTAATCTTATATGACAATTTTAAGCATGTTAAATAATTTTATAGAAATATAACACGTCTGGACATATAAACACTTTTTTTCTATTCTTCTTCTTCTTCTTCTTCTTCTTCTTCTAATAACAACAACAATAATAATAATTAAAATAATTATAATTAATTGAATTAATAAATTACGTCTTTTGAATTATTTTCCGTCTGTGTTGTATTTTTGCATTTGTACTTCCACATTAAATCAATGTAAGTTTTTGGCGGATGAAGAGAATAGAAGTCCCGAAACGTCTGCTAGAAATATACGAGACTCGTTCGAAAAGTTGTAAGCCTCAACCAGAAAGAAGAAGCCACAGCTGAAGATTTTTGTTGTGGTAACACACTACCGCTTCTTATAAAACTATTAAAAATGAATTTAGTTTTCTGTCTTAATTTCTGTGAAGGTGAGGTTCATGCAAATGTGAGAGGTGTACGACAAATCTAAAAATAGACAAAACAGAGGTCCAAGCAGTCATAAAGTATATACAAAAGAAAAGTATGACACCCAAGTAAATCCATGAAGACATGATACAGACACTTGCTGAGGACTCCCTTTTCTCTGGAACTGTGAAGAAGTGGGGAGTGGAATTCAAGCGGGGGTAGGGACAGCAGAGAAGATGACCCTTGGTCATGTCGTCCAAAAACCTCAACCATTGATGAACAAGCTGATGCCATTCACCGTTCGGTTTGGGATGACAGATAGCTTTCTGTCCAGCAGACAGCTAGGTTCATAGCCATTACTTCTGGCTCGGTCCATAATGTTTGAACTGAGATCTTGGGAATGTGCGAGCTGTATGCAAATTAGGTCCCAAGAATGCTGACACCAGAGCAAAGGCTGAAACGGGTTGACATTTCCAGCACACTTCTGATTCGCTTCCAGGCTGACCCCGAGAATTTACGCCGCAGATTAGTGACTCAAGATGAAACCTGGGTTCACCACTTTGAACTTGATTCAAAGATTCGTGGCAAAATAGTGGAAATACTCTGATTCTCCCCACTCCGAAGAAGTTCAAGCAGGCAGCGTCTGTTGGCAAGGTGATGGCTTTAAGCTTTGTCTGGTTTCTGAAGGCGTAATCCTGATAGACAACGTGAAAAAGTGAAAAAAATTAATGGAGAGTCCTATGCATCTGAATTAAGACACCTAAAGGAAGCAATCAAATGGAAAAGCAGGGCAAAAGCTGAAGTAAGGTGTGCTCTTGCTCCAGGATAACGCCTCCGTTCAAACTGCACTGGTTTCAGTATCTGAAGCAAACAATCGTGGCTTTTAATTGCTACTCCATCCTCCTTACTCATCAGCCTCGGCTCCATCTGACTTCTTCCTGTTTCCCAAACTCAGATCCCACCTGTATGGTTGCCATTTTAGTAACAATGATGAGATTATATGTGTTTTGGAAGAGTATTTGGAGGAACTGGACGCCATCTTCTTCCGTGATGGGATTTCAATGCTTAAGCATCTTTAGACCAAGTGCATTTGATGTCAAAGGGGACTATACTGAAAAATAGCGAAAAACTATTTTGTTTCTCCAATCCCCTCTGGACAAGGCTTAGAACTTTGTAAACGATCTTCGTACGCTTTACAAATTCTGTTTAAAACCCTAACGTGTCGAATATATGAGTGAATTAAAATGTTTTCAACCTGACCTACTTACCAAATGTTAACGTAATTTTGTTAATGAAGATGGAAACAGTGGCCAATTTATATTGTGAACCAGTAACATCACAAAGTGTGGCATTTTCCACTGTTGAAATTTCTATTCCGGCAGACGAGAAACACAAATGAGACTGATCAGGTGTAAGATCTGAATATTGGGTGACAAGTGCCTGTCATAGTCAATTGTGTGATGAGACAGCTTCCAACGGGGAGTTTTTTTTTTGTAACCCAAGATAAAACGCGGCCCAAGAAGCCTTCAATGGTGTCAACTCCTGAAATTATTAGCCATTTTCATGACATCGACGAATTTCGACTAAAAGAATTCACGAGACTCTATAAATATCCAGGGAAAGTCGTTGGGTCTCTAATTCTTGAGCAGTTAGTTTTGTAGAAGCTGTCAGTCAGTTGGGTGGCAAAAAGTTTCAATGTCGACCGCAGACGATGTTACTCCAAAATAGTTTAGCCGTGTTTTCAGAGATCTTGGGATAAACTTTGGGAACGATTTGTCATCGTTGATAAAACATGGTTACACCAAAAGCAACGGGTGACACTGAAATTTGCAATGGCCGAAGAAATTCAAGAACTAAAAGTCAGCGGGAAAGGTTTTTGATATAGATTTAGGGGATTAGATAAGTATTTTGATGGCTATCTTCAGATGGTTCAGTCAGTAAATACAGAAACTGCTTTTAATTGCTGTATGGGTTGATAGAAAAACGGGGAGTGAAAGCTTCAGAAAAAAAGGTCTCTTTTTGCCTGACAATGCGCTTGATCCCAGGAATTACAAAATGATGGTTACTTTGAAAAGAATAAGGTTTGAGAGCAAAAGACATTCACCCAGCTCACCAATTTATTGCTCCTTCTATATCGTGTTTTCCAAGAATTTTGAAAAGAAGGACATTTTCGGGTGATTCGGAAGTTAGAGAGCGGAAGGAGGGGAAATTTTTCGGGGCGAAACTTTGTAAGCAAAGGTTGAGAAAACTCAAGAGCGATGTATAAGTATAGTCCGGGGTATGACGATAAACTACATCCGACAGCAATGATCGTGAGACTGGAGCTACTGAGGAACATAAAACAACCTCTTAATTGATGTCATTTCCACGTCCATCCCGGGTAGCACCAGTTAGGGTCACAGCTATGGACAAATATTAAAACCCTTAAACAAAAACAATATAAAAGTATCAAAATGCCAATAATAGTTTTTTATATATATATATATAAAATTACCAATAAATATTCATAGTAAAATGACCAACAATACATTTTATCTGTAGTTGAAGGCATACAATTGCGTTCAAAATATATTTAGTTGAAACCGTGAAATTGTGTTCAAAATATTTAGATTTCGGCATTAAATGACCCATAGAGGTGTTGATATGCCACTAAACAAGATCAATCAACAAACAAGTGAGTGTATGAAAGTGCTGTATGGATAATGTAGAATATTATGTATATTTCATAAATCATGGACATCAAAGAAATCACACACATACACACAGACACACACACACATATATATATATTCATACACACACATATATATATATGTGTGTGTGTGTATCTGATAGAATAAATTACAAACATTATGCCGACTTATTTTTATCATAATCCTTTTATATTCGCGAATATTTTTCTGTATATTACAATCTAGTAATAGAGTAATGGGTAGCGGCTCGGATTGAGGAATCGGAGAGCCGAGTTCGAATTCCAGTCGGATCCATAACATTCACTTAAGTGCTAATACCCTTGGGAAAGGTATGAATCCTCTTCTCCTCCCCCCTCCCAGCTATGGATAAATAGCAGGACAGACAGGGTTTTATAGACTTGGATGACAACTGGTCTACCTCAGAAAGAAATGGCATCCTACTGCGGAAAAATATGCCTCGTCAGTCATGTATCCAAAGATACATGATCGCCTAAGCGTGTATCCCGCATGGCACATAACTGACTGACTGACTGAATATACGGAAAATATTCGTGAATATGAAAGGATTATGTTAAAAAATAGGCAGACATAATATTTGTAATTTATTCAATCAGACATGCCTAATATATATATATATATATATATATATATATATATATATATATATATATATATATATATTCTCGACTCTCCCGGCAGCCCGAGAACAGCACATGAGATTTGATTATAATGGTGAAGGCTTCGTGCAGGACCATCCACACTTTTTGAAGGGCCGATGCCGATTACAGAGACCTGGTGCACTAAATGGCACAATGTCCGCAAAAGATTCTACGCAGGTTTTGAATTCAGAATTGTCCTACTCCTAGACCAGTTACCATCCAAGGCTATAGAACCCAGTCAGTCCTGCTATTTACCCATAGCTGGAGGGAGAAGAAGAGGATTCACACCTTTCGCAAGGGTATTAGCACGTAAGTGAATGTAATTGGATTAGATTGGAATTCGAACTCGGCTCTCCGATTCCTCAATCCAAGCCGCTATCCATCACTCCACCGTGCTTCCTCTCTCTCTCTCTCTCTCTCTCTCTCTCTCTCTCTCTCTATATATATATATATATATATATATATGTAAATAGTCTCGAATAAAGAGGACATTACTGAAAAATAAAGAGAAAAAAGAGCGTTTCACGCAACTCGATCTTCAGACGACTCTCTCTTCTCTATATATTATATATATATATATATATATATATATATATATATATATATATATTATTATTATTATTATTATTATTTAAACCTTATTTTAATGGATACCAAGATTTGAGTAGACATTCCAGACCAGCGTTCTCCTTGGCAGGTGAAACCGTCCTTAGATCCGATGTGCTTTATACCGACTCGGCGACGTATATGAGGCACTAATCATCTGTGTTTAATAGAAGACGCAATCCGTAGCCAAGGTGGTTGCAGTTTCAAATCATACCGGAGAGTGTACATTTTCCTTTAATAAGATTTCAGGAATATTCAGTCCCGCAGACGAAAATAAATAAATAAATAAATACACTGTTTTATAAATAAACGGAACGTTTACTCATATATGGGTATCCACTAAAAATAACGTTTAATAAAATCTATCAGTTCGTAAGAAATAAATAAATATTTATATTAATGAAATCTATGATAATGTATAAAAACTTTCACGAAAACTTTTTCCACATTGTCGTAGATTTTCCTAAATTGTTCTTAAATTTTTTATTGTTTACCCATATATATATATATATATATATATATATATATATATATATATATATAATGTCCATAATGTTCGTGTGCACTTTAAAAATTTATTTGTATTTGCGATAGAAATAATCTGAAAAAAATGTTATAAAGTTTAATGTACCTAGTTTTAAGTATAGCTAAAATAACTAATGTGATTTCAGGCATTACTGTAAATCAGTTGGCAAATGTTTTCCTGCAAAATCGTATTACCCTTTGTATTGCTAATGATGGAGGACATGTGGAAACTTAAATAAAATTTCAATAAAACCTTAAAAAATATAGATTTACTTCGTTCTAATCCTTTTTACAAATTATTTCTATCGCAAATAGTTATAATTTTTTTAAAGTGCACACCAACTTTATGGACACCTGTCTCTCTCTCTCTCTCTCTCTCTCTCTCTCTCTATATATATATATATATATATATATATATATATATATATATATATATATAGATGGATGGATGGGGGTGTTTGCTACGACCCACTTCTGAAAATCTTACTAAATCCGCAAGCATCATAGTCTGGTGACGTATGGCTTCTTGGCCGAGCCGAGCCGAGTACTTTTCAGCAACATCTTGGAAATATATATAATTCCTTTTAAAAAAGTGTTAAAATATAACCAAATGCAAATGTTAGAAAGAAAGAAAGAAAGAAAGAAAGAAAGAAAGAAAAGGAAAGAAAGAAAGAAAGAAAGAAAGAAAAGGAAAGTAAAGGAAAGAAAAGTAATTTTCTGAAGGAAAAAAATAAAAGTCAGAAAACTGAAAAAAGATTTTCGAAAAATAAATGAAATTTATTTTGGCATTTTTGGAAAATATAACAAAGATGGTCAAAGGTTCAGAAAGAGAAAAGAATTCTTTTTTCAAGAAAGAAAAACTTAAAATGTCGCCATTGTGGGAATTGAAAAGCAAATCAAAATCGAAGGCGAAATCAATTTCATGGCAATTATGGCGGCAAAGTATTCAACCAAAATGGCGCTCAATTTCACTCTTGAAGCACTTCTAATGGCTTTAATAAAAAACGATTTAACACGTGATTGGGGTTGCCCGGAAAAGCTAGGGGCGTTTGTTTGTTTGTTTATCATTTAGAGCATAGAGGGTTTGGGTTGGAGTTTGATGTTGGTAATGTTTGCCCCAGTTTTGATTTGTTTATTTTCTTTCAGGTAGGGAGGGATCCCATTGAGATGGGTGTGGAGTAGCATCGTTTGAGGGGGAAAACATGGGGTATAAGGGTAGATTTATTAGAGACAAATAGTGGGGACAGAATATGAAGAAAAAGGAAAGTGGTGAGATAGAGGGAGAGTGAGATATGAACAGATTTTTCATAGATAGATACGAGCAGATTTTAATAGATAGATAGATAGAAAGAGATTTTTCATAGATATGATCAGAGTTTTGATAGATAGATAGATAGATAGATAGATAGATAGATAGATAGATAGATAGATAGATATGAACAGTTTTCATAGATAGATAGATATGAACAGATTTTTCATAGATATGAACAGATTTTTCATAGATATGATCACATCTTTAATAGATAGATAGATTTAAACAGATTTTTCATAGATATGATCAGATTTTTAATAGATAGATAGATAGATAGATAGATAGATAGATAGATATGAACAGATTTTTCATACATGGATATGATCAGATTTTTAATAGATAGATAGATAGATAGATAGATAGATAGATAGATAGATAGATATGAACAGATTTTTCGTAGATATGATCAGATTTTTAATAGATAGATATGAACTGTTTTTTCACAGTTAGATATGAACAGATTTTTCATAGATATGATCAGATTTTTTATAAGATAGATAGATAGATAGATAGATAGATAGATAGATAGATAGATAGATAGATGTCGAAATGCAGAAAGAAAATGAAGCAAATGAAGATTTCTGAGAGTAGAAGGAAAACAAGTAGAAAGGGTCCTGGTTCTTAGGAAGCGGTGAAGGAAAAAAGATTTCGAAACTGTCGGGAAGGTTGGAGTTGTGTCGGTGGGTGGGTAATAAGCAAGAGGAAAGGGGGAGATATGCAAGAAAAAAGGGTAGCAATAGAAGTAAGCGTAATGGCACGCGAAGTTCGTGAATAGGTATTTCGCTTGGCACTGTGGGTTTTCAGTTTAGAAGGCTCACGTTTTTTACACGCTACCGACGGGGAAACAGCCTTATTCTGAGTGGGTCAGTTGTTGTTCACTGCAATTCAGTCAATAGATAGATAGATAGAAAGAAAGAAAGAAAAAGAAAGAAAGAAAGAAAGAAAGAAAGAGCTAAGATCAAATATAGATCAGAATCCGACCGCATGATAAGATAAAGAAGAAATTAGAAAGTATATACGTGTAGAAATTTAAGCCTTGTTTCTTTTTAAGGATTGGCTTTCCGGCCCCTCCTAATGTTTACATCAACTCTATGATTCTAACATTTCCAACAGAGCTCTCAAGTTTTATTTACTAATTATTTTTTTTTACTCCCAATAGGAGTAGATAGATTCGCCCATCGTCCTGTTCACACTTCTCCCCGGTTCGTTTTCCGGTTCCTTCTACTTCAACTCTATACTTCTAAAGACTCCATCAGAAATCTGAAAGTAGATAGGTTCGCCTATCGTCCAGTTCACACTTCTCCCAGGTCTTTTGAACAGGAGTAGAGTTTTATCCCTTGTTTCCTCTTTAGGATTGGGTTTCCAGTTTCTTCCAGAGTCCACTTCTAAACCATACCCCTAACGTCTCTGACTGAACTCTGCAATGTTATTCACGAATTAAATTTTGACCTCTTCAACTCTAGATTTAGAGATTAGCTTTCCTGCATATTTCCAAGAACTTCACTTCTTGTCATTTCTTATGCTCATACAACATCACAAATAACCCTCTACCTTCAGTGGCTCTTGAGCCTTTTATTAGATAAATATTAGTAAAAAAAAAATGCAAAACTTTATAACCTTCAGGCAAATGCATCATTAGAAAAGTGTAATTGCTATGTCATCATCGTCGGCTTTATTTGCTGTTGAAGAATTTAATTTCTTTTTTTGCTGATCGCTTACTTTATGTGCAGTTTCACAGTACAAACTTTCAGATTTACCAAAACCTTTTCCCATTATCCATTCCCTATTGCCGTTTGGATTTTTTGAATTTAGTTAGAGTTGAAACAAAATCAGAATTGAAGAAAATGCCGATGGCGTGAATTGGCTAAAGTCGAATGAATCATAAATACGCAATATAGATTTTGGGGATAAAATATTTATTTAATATTTATTTAATAATAAATATTTCTGATCAGAAATATTTAATATTATTTAATATTATATATTTAAATCTCTGTAATTTACATCTCGCCTTTTTACTGTATTTACGGGTTAATTTTACGACGTGCGGACTTAGGAGAAGATACGTTGGCTTATCATCCTGATCACACACCGCCCCGTTTTTTTTTAACAGAAGTAGACGTTTATCCCTTGTTTCCTGATTAGGATAGGGTTTCCAGTTCGTTCTTGAGCCTTGCATATAATATTCCTAACGTCTCCGAGTGAACTCTGAGATTATATGCACTAATTAAATCTTGACCCCTTCTAGTCTAGAGTTAGCTGTTACCTTTCCTGAATCACCCCTAAGAAATTCTTGACCTTTCCTATGCTCATACAACATCATACAGTAACCCTCTACCTTGAGTGACTCTTGGGCCTTGTATTGTAAAAAAATGTTGTCGTATTTTTTTATTAGGCCATTTTCTTTTTTCCATTAATTGCTCAGACGAATATCCCGATCTTTATTGTTTTCATTATTATGAATCATCCGTTCTTCGATGCATTATTTGTATTTTTTTATTTAAAATACACTATTATCCAATTAATGATTCAGCCTAGCGGTCCTTACCTTGATGTTTTTGTTAGTAATATTCCGGCCGAAGCGCTCTCCAGCCTTCCATTTATTTTATGAAATTCTGTGATTAAGTTGTTATCATACAATCTGCCGTTTGGTTCGTTTTACCTTTAGGTGTATTGTCCTCTCCGTTGGATGCAGGAATATATCGACAGCGCCCTCCACCCCCCCGGGCTGATGTGGGGTCCCTTACAAGCCCCCCCCATCACCACCACCACCAAAAAAAAGGTTACATGTTTACTGTACTTATGTTTACCTTTTACATTCTCATACAAACCAATACTTTTGGCGTTGTCGTGGCTGCAAAATAAAGACTGGGTAGCTCCAGCCTACTTATGGCAACCCTACTTGATTTTCGTTTTGACTTGTCTCTTACAAATAAACGGCATGGCACGAGGAGTCTGGTACTTTCTGTAGCGACCATGTTTCCAAAATCTTTAGTCATGAATTATATTATATATATATATATATATATATATATATATATATATATATATATATATATATATATATATATATAGGTTCTGTTTAACTACTAAGAAAAGATGTAACTGAAGGACTGAAGTAAATTTAGTCTTTGTTTCGTGATAATGAATCGTTTATAAGCCAGTTTTTCCGCCATGTTTTTTTTTTTACTAAAGACAATAAACTTTCTAAGGCGATTAAAAACGGCTTTAAGGCAAAAAGCAAGTTAGAAAAGATGAAAAATTTACTGAAATGTCGATACTTACACTACACGTCAAAAGTTTAAGAAGACTCCTTGTAATTTTTATAAAAATAGTTTTGTAATTTAAATAAGAAAAAAATATTATATATCGTTAAAAAAAAAGTGAGACATGATTTTTATTAGAAATTTTATTATGATACAATCAAAAATAGGATTTTATGGTTACTTTTTTGGTCTCGTCGAACTATCCTCCTTTAGTTTTGATTAATGCAACACAATTTTTTGGCATTTGTTGCAAAAATAGTATAAGTTTGATAATTGGTTCCATTCTTTTTTTCAATGACTCTAAGAGGTCTTTTTTTTTCACTCTTCTGTCAATTTATCAAAGGCTAATTCTGGGGTGGCTTCAAACTTTTGAACTGTAGTATATATATATATATATATATATATATATATATATATATATATATATATATAACCAAACACAGCAGACCATTAACCTGCGTCTCTTCGTTTTTATCATTTGTGTTGATCTCTGATGAAGATTTCATAAAATGAAATCAGTCAGATTAAGATCTGTTTCTTATTTGTTCGTTTTCCTATCAATTTCACAGATTCCTATCCATACTTGATATATATTTTATCCTCTGCTCCTAAATAAAGTTTGAGGCCACCGCTGATAATCTTTTTAAATTGGTCCCAAAAGTAGTTGTTTTGTACTTTAAATAAAAGAAAATTATTATACATGGTTAAAAACAAGTAAGACATGACTTTTTATTAGATTTTATTATCACAAAAAGAAAAAAATCATTTTATGATTAAATTTTGCTCTCGTCAAAATATCCTTCTTTAGCCTTGATTACTGCAGCACAAATATTTGGTATTTGTTCCAGAAGTTTCTCACAGTATAACTTTGATAATTCGATTTTTTCTATGACTTTAAGAGGTCCTTTTTCATTTTTTTTCTTTTCACTCTTCTGTCAAGTTCATTCCAAGCTAATTCTGGGGGTCGCTTCAAACTTTTGAACTATAGCGGAGGTTGTCGAAGATGGAGTAAATTTCTGTAACAATATGGTTCCCAAAAGAGTTACATAATGATGCTTGTAAAAATGATTACATAACATTAGTCGACTAGAAAATCTTAAATGATTGCGGGTGACGTAAAAAAAAACAAGTTGAGCAGAATTCAGTGCAACCTCGGTTTTCGAACGTCTCATATGTCGAATAAATCGGTTTTCGAAAAGAAAATTCGAGATGAAAATACCTCGGTTATCGAACAAAGTTTCCGTTCTCGATCAATATTGCCGAACCGAATTAATCCGAACGGAATCATTTCTGAGTCGACCGCCATGTTGTATACATTCGTGTGTTTTATTGTGCTTTTCTTTTTCAATTTTATTGTACTGTGCCTTTTTTCTCTCTCTTTATAAGCCGAAACGAGCCGAACCGAATTAATCCGAACGGAATCATTTCTGAGTCGACCGCCATGTTGTATACATTCGTGTGTTGTATTGTGCTTTTCTTTTTCAATTTTATTGTACTGTGCCTTTTTTTCTCTCTTTATAAGCCGAAACGAGCCGAACCGAATTAATCCGAACGAAATCATTTCTGAGTCGACCGTTTCGGTTTCCGAATATTCCGTTTCACGAACGGACTTCAGGAACGAATTAAATTCGTGGACCGAGTTTTCACTGTACATGTAAAGATGGCGTTCAGTAAATAAAAAAAAAACCTAAAAAAACATAAGTTTCTTTTATATGAATGTCTTTTCTGAAATTAAGTCTGATCATTCCGACAACGTCAAAATGGCAGACGATGTCCAAAACGACCTCAGCCCGTCGTTAACTGGGGCAAAAGATGGCTTGTTAATTTTAACGCCTCTAAAAACTATAACTAAACTTCTTTCTATTAATCATCAGAGAGAATCTTCTCTTCCTTCCATCAACATGGCTGATGCTAACCTCCATGAAAGGGAATTGATGCGCAATCTCGTGCTAACGTTCTCAGCTGACCTGAAGTTGAAAGACTATATTGAATCCATTGCTGGGTCAGCTTCTAATAAAGTTGGTTCACTTTGTCGAGCGAGACAATTTTTCTTTCCAGAATTTATCTTACATTTCTATAAGTCTACCATTCGTCTATGCTTTGAATATTGCTGTCACATATGGTCAGGTGTTACTGCAATTTACCTAATGCTCATTGATAAAATGCAAAGTAGAATCAGCAATATTATTGGTCCTGATCTTGCAGCTCGGCTTTAGTCCCTTCCCACCGTCGTCAGGTTTTCTTTCTGTGTCTTTTCTCTAAATAATTTTATGGTAATTGTTCGGATGAGGTCTTCGCTATGGTACCTAGACTTTTTAAATTCAAGCTCAGTACTAGACTGGCGTCGAGATCTCATCAAGTGACAGTTGAGCTGGCTAGGTGTAGCCGTAAGTTCTGTGCTAACAGTTTCTTTTCTCGCACTTCTCGCTTGTGGAACTCTCTTCTGGATCCATGCTTTCCAGCCAACTTTAATCTGCAAAACTTTAAATGCAATGTCAATCGTTATCTACTGTCCTCCTGATTACTCTTCTTTTGCTGTTGCTCCTTAGCAATGTTTCTAACACTTCCGCATTTTGTAACCCCCTTGTGTCTTAGTGGCTTTATTGCCTTGCTTGGAACGAAATCGATTTAAAAAAAAAAAGATAGATAGTTCTTTGAGGATTTTCTAACAGCCACTCCGATTATATCTTAGGATCAGCTCCCATCTTTCTATGCAACTGGTGTGTTACATTTAAAGAAATCGAAAGCGTATCCTATTCTGAGTGATCTTCACATGTCAAGTATCGATTGATTTCCTTTTTCAGATTATCAACCATTTGTGGTTTATTTAAATCCGAAGCGTATTTTGGATTACCGGAAGTTGTATACAATACTATGTGTTTCCAAGTGGTCCCCCATCTAAATAGTCACCAGGCTCTACGCTGCTTAACTTCCGGTGTGTTCAGTGTGATTTCCAGGTCTTATAACTAAAGAGTTATCCCGAAAATGACTGATTAGGAAGGCTGTATGTTGAATGAAAGAAATGCTGTGTGGTGTCGTGTTGGTTTTTGGTTTAGTTTGGTTTTTTACGATATATCAACCTCAATAGGTTATTTAATGCCGACAAAATTTTTATTGCTGGCAATATGTTTTTCTTCAAAAATCTATTTCTGGGAATATTCCTCCTTGAAGAAATCTATAGCTAGAATGTATAACTGTTTGTATTGCTGTTATTTTTTAAAAGTATTGCTGATAATTTATCCTTCAAAAATTATTGCTGGTAATATTTTTTTATTACAAAGTATTTTTACACAAGTTTGAGTGTTAACTATTTGCCTATAGTTGGGACCCTAACAGGTGCTACCACCTCGGGTCAGGGTGGATCTGGGATCACCAGCAATTAAGAGATGGTTCCACGATCCTCAAAACCTCCTGATCAGAGGTCCTACTGTTGGACGTAGTTTATCGTCTTACCCAGGACGCGGATGTAGCTTATCATCATGCCCAGGACGCGTGTTGTGTTGACTTAATTAACTGCATTTTCTCTAATTTTATACGTTATTAAAGATTGCAGGTTAGGTAAGCTAACTTGTGTTAGTTTTATTATTCTTTTAAACTGTACAGCTAGATCATCCCATGAAGTTCAGAATACCTATCAGGAGTTATTATCAATGACGATAACCTTAACAACATTCGTGTAGAGTGAGTGGCCATGGTCAAATGTAAATACATGGCAGAACTGGCAGAATTGACAAAGTTTGCAATAAGCAATAATAAGAAAAAGAAAAGAACAGGGTAAAAAAATAATATAAAGCATCCAAACAATATATGTAAAGGCAAATTAAACGTAATAAGGCAAAGAGACAGTAATGTGGTAAAAGTTCACAAATTAAGAATTTGGGTTGACACACAAGAGTAACTTAGGATAAAAGGACGTAACGTTCTGACTTCAAGACAAGACAGACTGGGACTGAGTCATATGTAACCGAGAACCGGCATATCTTATTGGCTAGGAAGAAATTCCAGCATGCATCTATATGCTTCTGCCTATAAATTGGGGAGGGGAAAATGTTTTGCAGTCATTCCCAACAAGCAAGCAAACAATATATACAAGGCAAAGCGACATTAATATGGCAAAAAAGTTCACAAACTAAGAATTAGGGTTGACACACAAGAGCGAATTCGGCTAAAATAACATAGCATTCTACCTTCAAAACAAGACTGACCGACAGAAAAATATGTCGAAATATATTTAAACGTTTTACCACTAGATGGCGTTGTCAAAAACATATATATGTAAGGCAAATTAACAGTAATAGGGCAAAGCAACAGTAAAAATATCAGGGGAGAGCTGAAATATTAGAACGCATACTGAGGAAAGAATGTTTGGAGAATATAACACACAGAACATATTGAAAGCATAAGATGTAGTTGAGTGATCTACTTGAGTTTTTCTATTTATAGCATAACAAATACCTCTAAAAGAGATAGGAGACATAAAAGAGAAAGAACAGGGAGTTGTGGAGAGCCATAATTCATAAACACCAGAAGCGACATGGCACATAGAGAAATAGGAAGAAAGAGAGAGAAGTTGAGTCGACTAATATTCAGATATGATGGTAGGTTGCAAAGTTCATAGGCTAACTATGAAGGAATGATACCGGAGCAGATAAACTAATATCTCTTTGTTCACCTGAAGAATTCAAACTAAGGAATTGCGACTTCTCTTGAAAATGAACAAAATTTGGCATCGTTGTATTACCAAATACCTGCAGAAAAATGTTTGTCCATCAAGGACATTCATATTGATATGCTTGTCATATTAGGGGATAACGCTCCAGTTTTATCGACAGTGCAAAAGTGGGCAGCTGAATTTAGAAGGAGAAGGGAGACTCTTGAAAATGGCCCAATGTCTGGACCTCCTACAACTGCTAACATCGAAGAAAACATTGACCGTGTTCAACACATGGTGATGGATGAAAAGCGATTGACTCTAAATCAAATCGCCAATGCTATTTGCATATCCTGTGAGAGAGTTAAGCATATTCTGCACAAAGAACTTAGCATGAAGAAAGTTCCTGCTTGGTGGGTGTCACGTCTTCTGACACCTGATCAAAAGCGCACCAGGCTGATCACATCACGGAAAAATCTGAGGCAGATCCAGCTGGTTTCCTTGAACGTTTCCTAATCCAAGATAATCATTGGGTTCATTACTTTGAGCCAGAGACAATCTATGCAGTGGAAACGCCACTCCAAAAAGATCAAGTTTTATCTTCAGACAAAGTGATAGTTTTGAGGATTTAAAAGGCATTACGTTTATAGACTACCTTCAAAAGGGCCACACCATCAATGGAGAGAACTGTGTTAACTTGTTGATGCAGTTACAAAAGTTTACAAACACCCAGGAAAACTGACGAAAGTGCTTTTTTTTTCAGGGCAATACACACAAGACTTTGGTTTCAATGGCCGCTGTGCGTGACTATGGCTTTAAACTGATTGATCACCCTCCCTATTCTACTGATTTGGTCCATTCTGATTATCATCTGTTACCCAACGTGAAAAAGCAATTGGCTGGGAAATAGTATCTCAGTGGTGATGACGTCATATCTGATGTTGATGATTATTTTAACCAACGGGATGAAAGCTTCTTCACCAATGATATCCAAGCACTGCAATACAGATGGAAGCAATATGTGGACCGCAAGGGGGACTATGCTGAAAAATAGACCTCAATTGGTCATATTCCATGTGAGCACCTTGGTCGGCCTATGAACTTTTCAGTCAACTTTCGTATATTCTTCAACATACCGTGTGAAGAATACAGAATTTGGTAAAGACCACATTTCTTCGAACCTTGGGGACTGACAATCACAAACAAACAAAAAAAAACTGCACCAAATAATGGAAATTCTATCACTTGAAGAATTCCAAGAGCTGCAACAAGTAAAATAGATATCATATACAGCTTGAAGAGAAAATAATAACATAATCAAGATCATGACATTCCACATCACTTCAAACAAAAAGTTAAGAAGGAAACCCCCATCAACACGAGAAAGAGCGTTAACAGCTACTGGCCTTGTGAAACCATGGCGTGTGTTTGTCGGAATTCATATGTATATGTGCGCATGCGCGTGTGTGGGTGCGTAATTGCTCAGTAAACAGAGACTCGTTAAAATTTTGATAGAATAAGATATGTTAAAAAGTGCAAATCATGCTTCATTCAAATATAAACATCAAATGCATTTCTAAATTTGTTTTTGTTTTAAATTTTAAATAAGAATAAGGGGGGGGACAAACCAATCGCATAATCACCATCAGAATATTTAGATAGATAGATAGATAGATAGATAGATATGAACAGAGATAGATAGATAGATAGATAGATAGATAGAAGTAAACAAATTGAGAGAGAGAAAGACAAAATACACTGTAATATTTATATATATATATATACAGAGAGAGAGAGAGAGAACACAAGGTAATAGATAGATGTAAATAGGTTAAGAAAGAAAGAAAAAAGAAAACACTGTAATAAATAGATGTAAACAAGTTGAGATAGATAGATAGATAGATAGATAGATAGATAGATGTTAACAGTCTGAGATAGATATATAAACAACCAGAGAGATATATGTTTATTCTATTATGTATCCATTCTTATAATCATGTTTAATTAACTTCTCTAATATTAATCACATCTGCTATTAAACCTTTTTTTTTATTTTTCAATTTCTCCAGAAACGGAGTTTGGCCATTTCCCCAAAAATAAATTGCTGATTTGTACAAAAGTTGAAAAAGAAAGAAACAAATAAAAACATCTTCTGATAAATTACCAAAGGCGGCACCCGAAAACCGAAGCGTTACTTGTAAATTGTAAGTTTCAGTCGCTTTTCAGAGACGCCTATTTTTTTTTTAAATACGAAACAAAAAAACAACGTCACGAGGTAAAAAAAATAAAATTTATCCCTGTGCTTGGCGTCAAAGAGGCGACAAAAAACTTATCCAAGTTTTTTTTTTCATGACTAGATACGCTGAAAGTAAACTAACGATTGATATATATACACATAATAGCTGGCCACTCGTATACGAGAATGTCAGTCTGCTAAGGCGGCTAGATAATCCCCATTTCAGACGCCTGCTCAGTCACATTTTTGTTTGTTCAACACCCACGGAACCCATACTGCAACTATGCTGAGCAGACCTTAGTTCCAGTTTCTGGGAGAGAGTGTGTTATCTAGCGTGATCACCAATCTGAACAAGGCCAGCACGCTCAAACCCTCAGTCACGATGACTTGAGACTTCGTGCTAGCACAACCATGGACAGCTCCCAAGGGTTCCGTCTACCCAATTTCACTCACAAAGCTTGGGACAACTTTCCATATTTGCCTCCCCCATACCAATAACATCAAAAAGTCACCTACCTGAGACGCGAACCCGGATCTCATGGTCAGAAAGCGAATGTTCTAATCACTTTAACCATGATTTTTTTATTTAATCTTGCCGATTTCATTTAAGGTCACCCACATTAAAAGAATAAGAATTAAGAAAACAGAAGATAACTACTGACATTGCATTTAAGTTTTTGTTGATCAAAGTTTACGGGAAAGCAAGAAACTGGGAGAAAGTTCCGCAAGTGAGAAGTGCGAGAAAAGAAACTGTTAACGTAGATCTTTGGGGTTAGATCTATCTTTTCAAAGTCTAAAATGTTGAGACCTAGCTGCCAATCTAGTACTGCGCTTAAAATTAGACATTATAGTTGATATAGAATGAGTGGCCAGATCTACACTCTCATGCGGATGTCATGCTTAGCATCAAATCCGTCCGGAAAGCTATATACAACCGTTCTTTCAGAAGAGCAATTATTAAAAATGGCTTCACGTGAATGAACCCTGTAGGTCTTGAAGAGGACTGTCTTTCGTCAGATCTTTTCGACTGGCGGTATACAAACACAAACAAATAAAGTTACCAAATAAGAGAAGCCACATCACTTGAAGACTTTCAACAGCAGCAACAACTAAAATGGATAGCGCATGTAATCAGATAATCAAGATGTTGACGTTCCACACTACCTTAAACAAAAGGTTAGGAAGGAAACTCCCCTCCACACACCCCACCAATCAATACCAGACAATACTGGAAAGAGCAATAACAGTGGACTTCAGAAACCTATTTCTCCTAAAAAACTATACGAGAAAGATTTTAGAAATTTCAACGGACAGTAACGTTAACTGTTCAGTCTATTAACACCGAATGGGTTCTTGGATATTTGGCTGACGGATATTTGGCTGACGGATATTTGGCCGACGGATATTTGGCAGATGGATATTTGGCTGACGGATATTTGTCCGACAGATATTTGACGAACGGATATTTGGCCGACGGATATTTGGCCGACGGACATTTGGCGAACGGATATTTGGCCGACGGATATTTGGCCGACGGATATTTGGCCAACGGATATTTGGCCGACGGAGATTTGGCCGACGGATATTTGGCCAACGGATTTTTGGCAGATGGATATTTGGCCGGCGGAAATTTGGCCAATGGATATTTGGCAGATGGATATTTGGCCGACGGATATTTGGCCAACGGATATTTGGCCGACGGATATTTGGCCACCGGATATTTGGTCGACGGATATTTGGCAGATGGATATTTGGCAGATGGATATTTGGCCGGCGGAAATTTGGCCGACAGATATTTGGCCAATGGATATTTGGCTGATGGATATTTGGCCGGCGGACATTTGGCCGACGGACATTTGGCCAACGGATTTTTGGCAGATGGATATTTAGCCGGCGGACATTTGGCCGACATATAATTAAATGAATGGACATTTGGCCGAAAATGTAGTGGCGTACTGACATGTATGTCACACTCTTTATCGTAATGTCCGACATATATTTATATATTGTATTAATTTATAATTTTTTGTTTTTTACAGTCTTTTTCTAAATCTATTCTGTATATATTATATTTTACTTTAAATATTAATGTAAGATGATAAGTATTTTGAGAAAAAGCACACAGCAAAAATCTTAAGCTTTTACGATATGAAAGACCTTTCAATTTCGCTTTTAATGATCATTAACTTAAAGAGATGAACTAGCTTTTATCTTACTGTCAAGTACGAATTTAAATAATTAGGAGCTACTTTTTACCCAAATGCACTCAAATATTTTTTAAAATATCAATTTCAATAAACAAATATTGAATGAGGAAATCTTTTAACTTTAACTTTAGATTTAGTAATTTAAAAATTCAGTGGTAATTATTTGTCCTATTCTACCTCATAATACTGCGAATTAAAATACTTAAAGTAGTGCTTGTTACTATTTTCACTTGTACTTTTTCGGTGTAATGATCGTCAACCAAATATCCATTCGGCCAAATGTCTGTCGTCCAAATGTCCGGCCATGTTTCTAAGGTTGCGTTAGTCGCTAATAAATCGACGTAGGTCTTATAATACTCTTAGAATCATAATCATGATAATTAACGCAATAAGTCTAATTTTATATCTTAAGAGATAAAGAAAAAATACTAATTTACTAGTGGCTAGTCCAAAATTGAAGGATTGTGAGCCATACAACAAAGATACGGATAATCGTTGGAATTTCTCTTGAAATAATGACAACACTTCCAAACAGTACTGACGAAGGTTGCTGAACACACCGGGCGAGAGGTAATGATCAAAACAACAAATATAAGGATACCCGTTTGAATGCATCATGGGAAAATGACTAGCTTTCAAACAGACAGAACAATTCCGGACGGATGACCAAACGAAATATGATAACCGAAATAACTAGTGTGAGGATACTCGTCTGAATAAATAATAGCAACAATTCAGAGATTTAGATGGCACAGAGGATGGACGGAGAGTCAACCGGATGAAATCATACTAAAAAAGAGAATTATATGTGTTTTGAATGTCGCATTCAAGGCTAGCACTGACTTATTATCTACTATGGTGAATATGTTATAAACGATCCATACACCAAGCTATTCGAACGGTTTAGAAATTATTACTGGATTACGGGGAAGGTACCATCACCACTTTCATTCCAATTGCAGATCATAGATTCTGTTTTGGAAAGGTTTATCTTGAGTCCTATTTCTTAGAACTCTTGAACAGTGTTTTTCATTTTGTCCTATTTTCTTCCAATTGAACTCTTGATTTATCTTGAGTCCTAGAACTAGAACTCTTGATACAGTGTGTTTTCATTTTTGATGGGTTCAGGTTTTCATTCAATTGCAGATCATAGATTCTGTTTGATAGGTTTATCTTGAGTCCATCACCACTTTCATTCAATTGGGTTCAGGATCCATCACCACTTTCATTCCATTGCTGTTTTTTGAAAGGTTTATCTTGAGTCCTATTTCTTAGAACTCTTGATACAGTGTGTTTTCATTTTGATGATGGGTTCAGGATAGGTACCATCACCACTTTCATTCAATTGCAGATCATAGATTCTGTTTTGGAAAGGTTTATCTTGAGTCCTATTTCTTAGAACTCTTGATACAGTGTGTTTTCATTTTGATGATGGGTTCAGGATAGGTACCATCACCACTTTCATTCCAATTGCAGATCATAGATTCTGTTTTGGAAAGGTTTATCTTGAGTCCTATTTCTTAGAACTCTTGATACAGTGTGTTTTCATTTTGATGATGGGTTCAGGATAGGTACCATCACCACTTTCATTCAATTGCAGATCATAGATTCTGTTTTGGAAAGGTTTATCTTGAGTCCTATTTCTTAGAACTCTTGATACAGTGTGTTTTCATTTTGATGATGGGTTCAGGATAGGTACCATCACCACTTTCATTCCAATTGCAGATCATAGATTCTGTTTTGGAAAGGTTTATCTTGAGTCCTATTTCTTAGAACTCTTGATACAGTGTGTTTTCATTTTGATGATGGGTTCAGGATAGGTACCATCACCACTTTCATTCCAATTGCAGATCATAGATTCTGTTTTGGAAAGGTTTATCTTGAGTCCTATTTCTTAGAACTCTTGATACAGTGTGTTTTCATTTTGATGATGGGTTCAGGATAGGTACCATCACCACTTTCATTCCAATTGCAGATCATAGATTCTGTTTTGGAAAGGTTTATCTTGAGTCCTATTTCTTAAAACTCTTGATACAGTGTGTTTTCATTTTGATGATGGATTCAGGATAGGTCCTATTTCTTGAAATACTTGATGGAAAATGCAAATTTTTTTTATCAAAATCACTGTTTTTTTATTGTTATGTTCATTCGTTTTTTACGCCTTATCAACCCTTTGTCGGTTTTGTAGAAATAGATAATATTTGAGATTGTATGAATTTCTTTTAGATAATAATGGTTTCGTGATGCACGTCTTACTATTTAACCCACATCTTGGGGAAGAGGCCTATTCATACCTTTCCCAAGGTTATTAGCGCGTAAGTGAATATAACAAACTCAACTGGAATTGGAACTCGGCTCTGCGATTAACAATTCCGAGCTATTAACTATTACACCAGCCGCACATCCAACCTTACAATACCTGGTATTCCCAAGCGGTCACCCATCTCGGTACTGACCAGGATCGACATTGCTTAACTTCGGAAGATCATTCTCATCCCAATTTGGGTTATAATCCCGAATCTTCTAAAATCCCGAATTTCAAAATCCTGATATTTAAAATCCCGAAATTTGAAATATTGAATGTATCAAAATTCCGAAAAATCAGAATCCCGAAAATTAAAATCATGAACAATCAGAATCTCGAAAAATAGTCTTTCGGAATAATTGAAAAAAAAAAAAAAATGGAAATAACTTTATTTTTAAACA